GCGCACCCCATCTTCCAAACAGAGCCATTAAGCAGACCAGAAGCTTCTTCCCTCTTGGATCAGTGGATAGAGGGAGTCCCTTGAAGCTGAGATGCCATGCAGAGAGACAGGCCCCATGGAGAATCACCCGTGCCATCTGACTACAATAGCATGAGACACCCAAATACAACCAGAAGAGGCACTGCCTACCCAACCCAGTGAAATACAATAAAATGGTGGCTTTAGACCACTTAATTTTGAGGTGGTTTGTTATGCAGCAATAGACAACTGAAACAATCAGCTTAATAATGATACATACCTCATAAGGTTGTTATGAGGATTAAATGAGGTAATTTTCCAAGTGCTGAGTGGTGCATGGCTTATGGAAGTGCCTGGCATTATGTATAAATGTGCTGAATCTGTCTATTCAGACCTACACAGACTGATAGAGACAGAAACTGTGTCATGGACAAAGGAATATGATTAACTCAATTCTTTGCACCTGATGTCCACAATATAAAAAAAACCTCTGAGGGTCCATAAAATGTCCTTGGGTGGTGCAAATGGTTTGCACTTGGCTGCTAACCAAAAGGTTGGCAGTTGGAACCTACTCAGAGGTGCTGTGGAAGAAAGACCTGGCCATCTGCTTCCATAAAGATTACAGCCAAGAAAACCCCATGGAAGACTAGCGAAACCTCGAGAGTATGGTCCCCGGACACCCTTTTAGCTCAGTAATGAAGTCATTTCCGAGGTTCACCGTTCAGCCAAAGATTAGACAGCCCCATAAAACAAAACGAGACTAATGGGGCACAACAGTCCAGGGACAAGGACTAGAAGGCAGGAGGAGACAAGAAAGGTAATAGGAAACCCAAGGTTGAGAAGGGAGAGTGTTGACATGTCGTGGGGTTGTTAATCATTGTCATAAAACAATATGTGTACTGTTTAATGAGAAACTGTTTTTTCTGTAAACTTTTATCTAAAGTACAATTAAAAAAAAGGGGGGGGGAATGATTTTATAAATATTATATGCAAACAAACAAATGAGACCCACTGAACTAAAACAAGGAAAGAAAACCCCATGGAGTTTAGTTCTAGTCTGTAACACCAAGGGTCACCCTGAATTGGAATTAACTTAATGGCAACGGGCCTGTTTTTTTTTCTGTTTTGGATAGGGTCCATATATTCATTTCTTTGATGGGGACACTCTGTCCTAGAGAGGTGAAGAGCGTGTCCTAAAATGATGCAGGGGCCCCCAAGCTGCCTCTCTCTCTTGACTGTGTTGCCTTTGTGCACAGAATGCAGAGCCTCCATGAAAGTGCTAGATGGATGAGCTCAGTGACTCATGAGTCCCTCATTTCTGGGAACACAGACAACTGATAGACTGTATTTGTTTTCCTCTGCAGCACTAGATCCAGAAGTAGCAAATGTTTTATCTGTAGTAAATTCTCAATTAGCCACCAGCGCCAGTATCAGGAAATGGAAGAATAACTGAAATCTAGATATAATTAAAAGATTTCGACCAAGTCAGTACTTTCATTCTCCAGGAGGATCTCTCACAGTTTTTTTTTACCCCCAGGCAGAGTGCTCAATAAATATTTGTTGATTATTTAAATTTACTGTCTCTTCTTTTAAAAAAGAATTTGAAGCAATTTGTTTATGGTCATTCACATCTTTTACCAATATCGCTAGTCAAAACTCAGGCTAGGGCAACATAACCCAGACGTTAGCAACAGTGAGGTCATTCATGAACCGCTGAGAAATAAGCCCTTGACATACTCTGTCTTGTTCAAATCTTACAAGGACTATATGAGGTAGGTATTACCCCCATTTTACGAAGGCAAAGAAGCATTGGTGGTTCAGTGGTAGGATTCTTGCCTTTCATGCAGGAGACCTGAGTTCAATTCCCAGCCAATGCACCTATATGTAGCCACCACCCGTCTGCCAACGGAAGCTTGTGCATTGCTATGATGCTGAACAGGTTCAGCGGAGCTCCCAGACTAAGACATGCTAGGAAGAAAGGCCTGGTGATCTACTTCTGAAAGTTAGCCGATGAAAACCCCACGTATCACAACAGATCACGGGAATGGTGCAGGATTGTCCATAATCTGCAGTGGTTGCACTACAGAGGTGAGGGTTCAAACCCAGGTAGTCTGAGTTCATAGCTGGTTCTCTTTCTATTTTATTGCATTGGGTAGCAAAGAGCCAGAATCACTCCCAGAACAACTAAAACAGTGAGGGAAAGGTATTAGATCCCAACGCCAACTCCTAGACACCGAGACTTGTGAAGCCAGAAAAGGTGGATCGTAGAACATAATAGCCCGTGTTATTACTGCATAACTGATACATTTTGGAGAGTTTGCAGTTGCCCAGGTATCACTACCTTGAGAGCTAAGTTCTCATGACTCCACGGTCAGCCAGCACCAGGCTTCATGAAGTCACTCTGTCTGCCTGTGTGCATAGATAGCCAGAAAGGTCAGCGTTGAGCCAGGTCCATCATGGTCCCAACCTTCTTAACCTAAAATAATCCTGAACCTGTCTCTCTGGCCCACCTCCCATCCTTCCATAAGGCTTCAGAATCACAAGTCTACATTTCTCATCTAGCACTAGGGACTACATGCTGTGTGTCTGTGATCTTCAGGCAGCTTCCAGGAACACTGGATTAGAGTGGAAAGGAAGCAGTTACCAATTTCATTTCCTAGGTTTTTCCTCCTCAGGTAATTTCGGCTTTGGGGCATTCCCTGGTGCTGGCAGGCTGAAGATGAAGCGTTTGTGCTGTGTGGAGTGTCAGGGAAGGCTGAGACAGACCTGGAGCCCCGACCAGAGGGCACTGCCAAGAGGGGAACAAAGAGGCCCCAGGAGGAGACGGAAGCTCGAGCTGCGTTGGCTTGGCTGCTGTTTCACTCCCATTTTCTCCTTTGGCTCCTCCACACATGTAGAGGAGTTGCTTTCACTGAAAATGAAATGACTGTAGCTACAGCCCAGCTGAAAGTGATGATCCAGGCACTCAGTGCAGGGGAAGTAAGAGGACAACAATGCAAGACAAAAGTAACTTCCAAATCATGCCATTTATGTTTCCTTAATGGGGTTTTACAGCTTATCTGAGCCTCTGCTCAGTCTCTGAGGAGCTGTAGAATTTGTGCAAATGCTTTCTGTGTTCTCTGTCCTTCCTCCAAATGGGAACATGCAGACAGGCAGACACACCCACACACATGCACAGGACGGGCAAGAGCATACTGGACTCTAGTTGTTAATTTTCACTCTGGCTTCATGGTGACACATATTTGTCGCCATATAATATCCTTAAGAAAAGTGGTTAGGATAGGGTCCCTGCAAGGAGCATGGGCAAGAGAGGACTATGGGGACGGGAAGCAGTGAGCCCCCAGGATCCTTTACCCACCCCACTCCCTCTGCTTCATTCTTGATCTTCACCAAGCAAGAGGCAAACTGCTAACCTATAGGGCACCTTTGTGCCAATTATCGAGAGGCAGATGCATTCCTTCTTCTTTCCGCAAAGCGTGGCTTGGTGACTGGAGCAGAGGCTGGATCCCAGCCTGCACCCTAGTCCTCATGACTGGGTGTCCTTATGCATATGCTGTAGCCCCCTAGACTCTCCTACCTTTAACAGCCTCAGAGATAAAAGACCAGGAGAGAAGGCGTATCCTCCAAGAATTTTCAGAATCCCAGATGGCCCCTGGTGCTGATGCAGACCAGAGTCTCTCACAAGGAGGTCCCAAGATGGTGGCCAGGTAGGGAGGCACTGATGCTATTCTGGGCTACAGGGATGTCCTGCCCACCACCCTACAACCTACCCCTTACATCTTGGATTCTGTTTTTGTTCCCAGGGTGTGGATGCATACATGGGGGAAAGAGGCATGGCACAGTACTAACGTGCCAACTCTTCCCAGCACAGGACTCCCTGCCTGGGACTTGCCTGTCTCTGATAGTCATTATATCTCATTTCATAAATAAAGCAAGCAGGGATCCTCTGCAGCTAACCCTTCACAGGAAATGAGCCTGGCACCCCTTGTTCTCCTTAATTTATGGACTCATGAAAGCAGAGAGGAGAAAGAGTATGGTCCTGTCCTGAATGTTGGTGCTCGTTCAGTTGAGAGGTGTCACTGGTTAACCTGACAGCCCAGAGACCAAGGCTGGGTGGTTGTAATTTCTCAAGGATATTACAGGGCTGCAGTTCACCACCTACCAAGTTGGACCTTTTACTCTGGGAATTTAATGTGTGACAGCGGCATGCAGCCAATGGTGTCCAACATTTTAAAAAGGTCAATTAAGAAATGGTTGATGGTGGCGCAGCTAATGACAGCCCAAAGGGGTGAGCAGGGTCAAGTAAACAGAAGGGCCGAGATGTGTATTACTGGAATTGAAGTGTCGAAGTGAAGCGCGGAGGGGAAGAATCTATTGTCACAAGCCATGAAGTATATCTGAGTTGTGCGGTGAAGAGCTTATGGCTGTGTCCCTCCCCAGGCAGCGTGGGGGTTGGGGGTGGGCATCCTTGAATGGAGGGATCGGCTGACACCTGCATCAGCATGATCAACCTGTAGACAAAAATCGTTACCCTCCTTGCTACCTGCTCCTTTGCACTTTCTGCTTTCCCACTTGGGGAGCGTGAGACGGAACACTGAAGAGAGATTCAGAATGTGGATCACGTTCTAGAAACCCGTAGTTTAAGCATTCCCCCGGAAGCTGTGCTCGGCCCGCTCCTTGCAGCGTGTGTGGGTGGGCAGACAGCCAGGAGCCAGAGCGCCAACCCACGCAAAAAGCTGTGCTCCGAAGACACACCAGCTCCCTGGCTTCAGTGGACGCACAATGCGGGGTCCGGATCAGACCTTTACAGAGATTGATACAAGAGGAACACGGAGCCCTTGGAAAAAGTCTATTTCAGCCTGTGACAGAATTGGCTCATGGTTGGGGGAGGCACTGTGTGAGGCTCCTTTTTTCGGAAAACCAGACAAAGGGGTCTCAGACTAAGCCCATTGCTGCCAGGACAGGCTTTTTTTTTTCCGGCCACATCTACCTGTCAGGCTAGAAATTCAGTAGAGCAATGGGAATGCTAATTGATATGCAAAACAGGTCCCGAGTTCCTAGAAATGTCTAATGATCCCCCAGTTTATTACAAATGCAGAATTAAGACATGTATGAAATGAGATGGGAGTAAGAACACCAACCTTTTTCTTCTTGTTTTCAAAGCTACTTTGGGAAACTTTGCAGGTCTTACGATAAAAAAACAGTATTGCAATCAGTGGGGTTTTTGTCTTTCACACACTGTATATTTATTATTAGAAAATAGCTTCTATCAGCTGTCAGTACTAAACAAGTTGAAAGAAGCTTGCTTCTCACCAGAATTTTCCCCTCTTTAATGGGTGTTTAAATAAACAGCTCACTGTGTGGCGAGCTGCCACTCTTTTTCCTTTACAAACGGAATAATTAACTGAGGTTTAGTACAAAACATCCTTCCAGTCTGACTTGTTCTGAAGTCGGTATGCTGTCTGCTTGAGAGACGTGAGAGGTGAAAAAGACCACTCAAACTATCAACTTGCCCCGACGAATATACAGTAGAAACCAGGCAAAACAAAACCCATCCAAACCAAGAAACCAGTTTTTACATTGGCTTTTCAATTTTGATTATGTCTAAGTTTAATATATATATATATTTGAAATAGTAATAAAAAAGGAAGAATTTCGTCCTTAGCAGGACCACCTTCCTCATATGTTAAAGAGGTGTTCAGAAAATTCCATACAGTATCTGCTAAATAAACATGTTTGGCAGCTTAGCAAATATCATATGATTGCAGCATCCATGATTTGAAGTAAAACAGCATCTGCTTTCTTCCAGCAGAGTTCGTTGCTCGGGGCAATGTGCTAACACAACTCTGGCTGTTTCTAGACCCACAGCCTTAAGGAAGGGATTAGGGTTGGCTCAGTTCATGGCCCCCGTGCAGAAACTTCCAGACCCCAAACAACTAATCAATCAACCACCCACACAAGCATCAAACAATTGTCTCCTTTGAGTTCCTCTTGACTGTATGGAGGCCCAGCAAGGACTGCTGGTTAGAAGGTACGTTGACAGACTTTGGAATGAGGAGAATCACCCTCTGATTGGTCCGACGCCATTCATTGTACAATCGACAGTGGTACCTAAATGACACCTGGGTGGGAGAGGAAAAACAGGTGAAGGTTTCAGTTAAGCAGAAGTTGATCATCAATCTAAGAAATAAACTAAGTAATTTAAAACATCTGGAGGCAGCACAGCAGACGGCAAGAACCCCAGGTGAAACTGCTCTTGTAAGGAGCTGAGTGCTGGGAGATTGGGGCACCAACCAAAGAGCACCCATGTATGTTCAGGGGTGGGGCTCACATGGGTGACTTCGTTTCTCCTCAAACTGGGTAAAGTCAAGATATGAATAGGAACAAGAAATTCCTTCTAAAGTTGCATGTATTTTCAAGCTAGTGGTATTCCTGGCCTCAGAGTATTTGTTGTGAAGGAAGAGGGTGGTTGGATGCAGCCAGGCAAAGCAGATAGATATAGTGCCATCTCTTGCCCAGCTGTGCGACTCTGGGCGGTGTGCCTTTCTGGTCCCCAGATTCTGCTGTAAAATGAGAGGATTCATGTACACTCCTGCAGGTTACACACTGCACAACTCAGAGGACCCCATTCACATTGAATATGACATGCTCTTCTAGTGCTGTGGACAAGTCGCACAATTGCACTGGGTGACCCTGATGGATGATCCCTAATTACCTCTAGCTCTAGAATTCTAAGGCTTCCAGTGAGAAGATTTAGCCTGGGCACTGTTGTGGATGGAACTGTGTCCCCCAAAAAGATATGTTCAAGTCCTAACCCCCAGTACCTGTGAATGTGACTTTATTTGGAAATAGGGTCTTTGTAGATGTGATCTAGTTAAGATGAGGTCATACTGGAGTAGGATGGGCCCTAATCCAATGACTGGTGTCCTTATAAGAAGGCCATGTGGAGGCCCACAGAGGAGAACGCCATGTGAAGATGGAGGTAGAGACTGGAGTTACGTGTCTACAAGTCAAGGGACACCACAGAGTGCTGACAACCACCAGAAGCTAGAACGAGGCAAGAAAGGATCCTCCTCTAGAGCATTCAGAGAGAGCACAGCCCTGCTGACATCCTGATTTCGGACTTCTAGTTTCCAGACTGTGACAATAAATTTCTGTTGTTTTAAGCCACCCAGTTTGTGGTACTTTGTTACAGCAGTCCTAGGAACATAATACAGGCACCAGCTCACCTGATAGGCTCTTCCTGAGTCACAGACTGAGACGGGTACCACTTCCCACGAGCGTCCACAGCACCTTGCGCCTGTCTCAGCATGACCTGGAGCACGCTGTACGTCAGTGTACTTGTTTCTCTCTTTGTCTACACTAGAAGCTTCCTGAGAGCAGGACCTGTGTTGTATTCATCTTTGTATGCCCAGCACTGATCACAGTGCCTGGCACTTAGTAAGTTGCTCAGTAGAGTTGTCTGAGTGAATAAATATCCTACCTTTTCATGTTGCAACACTGCTTTAAACTTAAGCCTCCCTTAGAGAATACATGATAGTATGAGCAGTGAATCCCACAGCCAGCTGTGATATAACTATACCCAAAATGTGTTTGCTTCTCATGTACATATACTGGACTGAGAAACTTAAATCTGTGATTGGTTTTGGAGAAGGCTGACATAAGCCATTGATGGATTGCCCAGGCAATTAAGAGTCTGTATTTCTGAAGCTGAAGAAAATGACCTTTAAAAATAGGAGTAGGTTCCATCTGCATGCAACCACATGACCAGGTAAGCGCTGGGAAGGTGCCCATGAGCTTTGGGTGGCATATTATCCAGGTTCTGGGCTGTTTTATTATCTGGGCTGTGTTGATACCAGTACAGGGTTCACAGTGGTCAGTAATTGGCTGACCCGATGGTTTTTGGCTCAGTGTTTCTGGAAGTAGAGGACAGCACAGGCCCTTGATCAGCAAGGCTTGTTAGTCTTATGGCAAGACCATGAAATTCAAGGCCACTCACTGAAACTTCTGAGGCTAGAAAGCAGATAAAGCAGATGCCACAGGCTGAGCGCCAGACAGATTTGGGTATGAAAATATAAGCTTTTAAACTCAGACAGATGTGTTTTCCAAAAGGCCCCAAACATGCCAAAGTGGTGGTTTTTTCTTTTTTCTTTTTTTTTAACTTGATTCTCTTATATCTATTCTATCCTGCTGCTGCTTGGTGCTACTCATGAATGTAAGAGAGGCAAGTTGGAAAAGGCAGCTGTTCAGGGCCAAGGGCAGGAAAGAGGTAGAACGCAGACAAGTGCTAATGAAGAGCTTTGGCAATACAAGAAATCTGGGATCTGGAAATACTACAGGAAAGCTGAATTTCAAATCAAGAGTCCCTTTGTCCAGGATGTTAAAAAGCTGTGCACACTTGGCATTAGTAAGCAGAGAAGTAGCTGTGGGGAGAACGTGGGCAGCATTTTCCTCTAAGTGTAGGGAACTGGCCGTGGCCCCGGGGCCAGGCACGCCCAGGGGTTATTTGCTGTTTCCAAGCTTCCGTTTCCTCGTTTGTAACATGAATAAGATACCTGAGATAATGCAGGTAAAGCCCTCGGCACAGTGCCTGGCACATAGGTTAGTTTTCTTGGCATCTTATTTTTCATGTGTTAAGTATGGAAAAGAATGTGGTAGTTTTGTAGCACTCTTCCTAGATATAAAGAAACTAGGGAAAAAAAAAAAAAAAGAGGTTGGGCTATTTGCTTTAAGGCCTCCCTGCTTAGTATGGTCCATGGACCGGCAGCAGCTTCAGTCACCTGGGAGCTTGTTAGAATTTCAGAATTCTGAGCCCCACCCCAGACCTACAGAAAGAGAGTCTGCATTTTAACAAGATCCCCAGGTGATCTGCACGCACGTTCAGGCTTGAGAAGCACTACTTTAAGGAACACAGGGAGTCAGCGATTTAGCAGGTCTCCTGGTTTCTTGGCTCAGGAATAAAAAAACAAAACAAAACCAAAAAACAGCTCACTTGTTTAGCCAAATGAATGAGATCTTATTATGCATTAATCTATTTTAATTGCTGTTAACCACCTACAGTCTGCAGGCAAATTCAATCAATAAGAAGAAAGCATCATCTGAAGACAGCTCCTTACAGAGAAAGTAAAGGGAGTTGAGCACAACTGCAGAAGGGAGCACAGGTTTGCAGTTGCCCTGGGTTAATACCAGCTCCTGCTGCTAGATACTCCAAGACACTTCCTCTCCCAGCAGAATGTAAAAGAGTAAAAAGTTTGATTTAGAGGCATAAAGAAGCAGTGAGGAAAAAATAAATGACGTAAACCAAAAAGAAGCTACAGCAATAGAAATGTTGGGAACTTTGTTTAGCTATTTCTTAATTTCTGACATTTTGAGGGGGAGAGGAGGAAGCAAGAGTCCAGAGCCACTGTTCTAGAAAAATTACACACTATGGGGTGTGGTTCTTATAGTTCATTTATTCATCCAAAGGATGTTTATTAAGTTCCCATCATGGGCAAAGTCTGTAAAAAGAGTTGTGATCTTCCAAATGGCACAAGAAGGGTCAGCATATGTCGGTAACCTCCCTCTCCCAATCAGGGAGGTGACTGAGGCTGTGAGGTAGGTTTGCTGTAAAGTCACTGTAAGATAAAATCTTTGAATTATGGATTTTTATTTTGCCCTTTCTCTCTGGAGGTTATGGTGTAACTGAAGCATACTGATGGGGCCAGGGCTTTGGTAAGTCACCTTCCCAGAAATGAACATAGCTCACTCATCACTGGCTGCACCCTGGGCGGGGGGGGGCCAGTAAACCAAGCCAAACCCTTTGCCATCGAGTCAATTCCAACTCATGGCAACTCCAAGTGTTACAAAGTAGAACTGAGTTCCATAGGGTTTTCTTGGCTGTAATCTTTGTAGAAGCAGATTGCCAGGCCTTTCTTCCATGGTGCCACTGGCTCGGTTTAAACTGCCAACTCTTAGGGTGGTAGTCAAGGGCAAAACATTTGTATCACCCAGGGACTTTGCAGCCCACCTCCCGCTAGAGGCACCTCAGAAGAAAGGCTTGGTAATCTGCTCCTGAAAGGTCATAGCCTTGAAAACCCTATGGAGCAATTCTACTCTGTAACACATGGGGTCACCACGAGTCGGAATTAACTTGATGAACTGAAGAGGACTGTAGAGGATATAAATTGGCCATGAAGAAATTCTAGGCACCCCAAACCTTATCACACTGAATGTTCTCAAACTGCCCATCAGGCTGTCTGGGGAGGTGTCTAAATTAGTCCACGGTAACTGTGTTGAGACAGTGTTCTACTGGAGGTTTCCCCTTATACCAACAATTTAAATGATTCACTCATGGGACTGGCAGTTAGCCTCTGAGGAACTGGATCGTTCATTCATTTCATTCAGTGATTTAACCTAAGTTTACATGTTGAGCCCTGGCTGCAGCTGTGACACTGTGAATAGGATGTCCTGCAGGTCAGTGCACCACGGTGCCTCGATTCTCTTACTCGAAACTGGGCTAACAAAAATTACCTTATGAACAACGTCCTAATGCTCAACGTAGATTCGGTTCTCATTTAGCTCTCTTTTTGTCTGCCCATGGTCTTCAAACCATTTGTGACATGAACAGTGATGTTTCTGGGCACCCTTCCCCTGAGCTCTCAGAGTGGAAATGGCTGAGGGCTTGGCCTCCTGATCCCCTGGATGTCTGTGTTTCCATGCAGCAGTTCCAGAAAGCAGAACCCCGCTATTTGCATCAAGACTGGCCCCTGTGGCCGTGTAAGCTGGAGAGACACTCCAAAGGCACTTTTAGGCATTGGGCCTGAATGCCGGTCCCTCTTCAGAACACCCAATTGAGGCCCTTCCAGGCACAGCTTCTCTAAGCAGCAGGCTTGGACTGACACCATGTTTGTTTATCTAAGACATTTTCACAGCATAGTCTCCTTAAGCTTGACAGCTTGTTTACAATGGGTTTCTGCCGTGGGGCAGTTTCCAAGCGCTGTCAGCTTCTGAATTACATCTCTTGCCAGGGCTGCACAGTACAGCATTTATCTGGGAAGGAGTTATTCTATATTCAGTAACCTATTGCTGAGCTGACTCCGCATGTTTTTCACACCAGTCAAAGGGGAGAAGTGCCCTTCTTTCCCTCCTGCTACTCTGCATTTTACAGAGGGCTGGAGGAGGCTGGGAGCTGGGGAGAAGCAAGGAAGCCACAGGAAGAAAACCAAGCTTTATGGAGTCAACTCTGCAGCATAACTCTGCCAGGTACTTTGATAGATGTTCTCAGATGTTATCCCACTTAATCCTCACAATAACCTATTGACCCAGGGGTTATCGATTATTTCCTCCATTTTTTTTTTTTTTTAATCCAAGGAAGGCCAATAAGAGAGGTTAAGTACCCTATTTGAAGTTACATGGCTATTAGGATACTAAATCTTGGGTTCAAACATAGGTATGTCGGATTCTAAACATCCACACTTCTTACTATGCAGCACTGCCTCTCAGACACATTGCTGAAATAAAGTGTGTGATCACTCTCTCAAAAAATCCCAGCCTAGGCACCTTTCCCACCCAAATCTTCCTTCCACATGAGATGGGAGAGGAACCAGGGCTCCATCTAGTTTTCACTAGGTAATCTTTTTCTTCCTTTCCTCCCTCCCCCTCTAATGTCCATCTGCCCCTCTTTTTCTTCCTGGCTACGTAACCCACTGCTGTTGAGTCGATTCTGACTTATAGTGACCCAACAGGACAGAGTACAACTGCCACATAGGGTTTCCAAGGCTGTAAATCTTTACCTAAGCAGATTACCCCATCTATCTCCCATGGAGCAGCTGGTGGGTTCGAATTGCTGACCTTTAGGTTAGCAGCAAAGTGCTAAACCACTGTGCCACCAGGGCTCCTTCTAGTTAGGTAAGAGTGTGCTTTACAAAGCAGGTTTTTAAAAGGACCTTAAGTTGGTTTTGAAAGCAGAGCATTTATGTTTACACATTCATCTATCCTTCCTTTTAGAAACTCTTCTGAGAAAAATCAGACTAGTAAACCTCCAAAGCTAGTAAAGTGTTACCTCTTAATTACTTTCCAAAGTGCCGTCACATGTACTCACGTGACTCTCTTAGTGGGAGTTGGCAGGACGGGGTCCACTATCACCCCCACTTTACAGAAGAGGTCACAGGCCCAGAGAAGGGAAGTGACTCTTCCAAAGTGGTACAGTTGACAGGGAGTTAGACAGGGCTTGTTAGACTATTTAATTTCTTATCTCTAGCCCTCCTCCCATCACAATGACCTTTTGACTTCTGAATCAGCTTAACTGCTTAATTCACAACGAACCACGACACACTTTGGAAACATGGAGTTTTAAAGGAGGCAGTACTAGTTTAGTCTGGGGCTTCATGAGCCTGAGAACAGAATGTCTCAATTAACCAGAGGACTCTGATAGAAGTCCTAGCATTAGAACACTCCATATTTACCAAGACTCAAGTCATGCCCCAAAATGTGCACTTGCCTCTTTACTGTCTGAACACTCTTGTCTGAGGGGAGGTATTACAGAGGCATAACTAGGGTATGGCAGGTATTGCACTGGTCCTGGGCATGTGGCGCCACTGAGCGGTTTCTATTAACCTGGTACGGCCAGTGGTGTATCTACGGAAAATGGCGCCCTGTCCAAACATCTGACACCTCTCTTTTAGATAACTTTACCATAATATTGGCTCAAAAATACAAGTCAAGCCTGTTAATCTTTTTTTAATTAACACATTACCATGCTTGAGGAAGGACGTTGGGCCGTACTGGGTTAATAGAAACTGCTCAGTGGTGCCATGTGCCCAGGACTGGTGCAATACTCTAGATACACCACTGGTACAGAGCTGGAAGAGCCACATGATGAGCAAGAGGGACATGAGCTGGGGGTTGTGGTCAGGGTTGCAGGAGTGGCGGCCGATTGAACAGGGCTTGGGAGACAGAGGAAGAGGTAACTGTGAGGAATAGAGCAATTCCATGTGCTGACACTGTGCTATGGGATATGGGAATGGTACACTTTGGACAGGAAATACATATTGAATAACAATGGAATGTGCTCAGATTAGAAATAAGCAGCACAGGAGAGAGTATGCCAGGAAGCAGGGGGCCCTGTTTCTGAAACTATTCTAGAAGGTGGTGATGTCCTTTCCTGCAGGTCCCAGAGGGAAGCATAAAGAGAGAGATCAAATGTTGCACTTTGTGGGTGCTGTCAACTGGTGCCCGAGCAATCAACTAACTGCAGGAAGCTGAAAGGTGAAAAACAGAGATGTTTAAAATTTCTTCTTCAAGTACAGCAGGAACACTTATTGGGAAATGGTTTTTCCTTGGTGGCAGCTTCTCAGCTAGATAAATTAGTGTTTTTATGGGCAGCAGAGTCAATATCCCAACACATGGAATAATCGTCAGGCTAAGTGCAGCTCCACATCCAACAAAGACTTAAGGCTATGTCAGGACATAAGAAGAAAATAACCAGAAGGGAGGATTCATGATCAGTGCAGGCCCAGTGCGTCATTCCTAGTTTACGACAATCCCAGCACAAGTGAGAAACATAAACAAGAGAAAGAAAACACTGTGCTCTAAAACAGACGGAGTCCTAGACTGCTCCAGGACAGAATGTCGAGGGTGTGTGTCTTTGACTGTGAGCAAGAGCTTTCAGAAGCTGGGGCTTTTTCTTTATTTGATCTGCTCTCCATAGCAGTGGATGCGCATGTATACACGTGCACACACACATGCACTCACACACACGCACACACACACACTCACATGCAGTAATAAACCAAATCGCACACTCTTGCCAGCATTTGAATATCTGTCTTCTACCAAGCAGGTGAGATGTGTTGTAGACAAGAGAGAAGGCTTGTGCCAGCTGTGGGGCTGCCAGCTCCAGCTGGCCTGAACCCCCAGGCCCCGGGCCATACTTACTAGTGTCCAAAAGAGGTAAATAGTGAAGAGTGCGACAGTGAGTGCAATCAGTCCAACGGCTTCGAGCCGACTACTAAAGTGCAGGTGGTCCACGGCGCCCCGCAGGCAGAGCCAGCCCGAGATGGTGGCTAGGGGCGTTATAAACAAGAAGCACACCATGTCTCCAAACAGAGTCCGCTTCTCATGCTGGGGGCCTGGGTTTTTGAGCCACTGCCAGGGAAAGGGAGACAGAGAAAAGCAAGGGAAAAGGTTAAATGCCAGTGTGGAATGGAGACGCACTGCTCTGAAGTTGTCTTTGTCTTCAGAATCTGGGAAAAGGCATTTCAGAGCTGTTCTAAGATCACAAGGAATCTTTAGGGGCTCATTCCCATGCCCCCACCCACTGAATAACAGTAATTATGACAATTATAATAACAATGATAAGTCACAGTGCCCTTGTTGTAGATGACTGGCTTTTTGGAAAAAATTTCAGTGGCTATTATTCTGAATCAGAATGACCCTATATGGAGACAATGTTACTCTTGGAAAACAAAAGATGAGGGACAAGAAATTCTGTCATGTGACCAAAGCCTTCCAGTGTCTTGACTCTGGAAATGTGTGCAGAAAAGGGTTAACTCAGGAGGCCTGGGCTGCTCAGATTCTGTGCTCTTCCAAGAAAGGTCTGTCGTCAGCACTAGCCCTTGGACTGCTTCTGGGAGATGAGCTCTGAGCCCTTGGAATATTCTGCCTGATGGGAGTATTTTTGTATGCCTGAAGCCTTGGGCTACATGGTACCAGTTTGATTAGATACTTTATTCTAACAATGTGATTTATGGTGAATGTCGGCTTTTGCATGCCTGAAGCCTTGCGCCACACAGTGTACCAATCTGATCAGATAGTTTATGCTAACAATGTAATTTATGGTGTATGCCTACTTTTGCTCTGGATGGTTGAGTCTGAGTAGCTGAGGTCAGTCACACAGGTGTTATATGCCTGTATGACTGACTGACCCTGGACACTGAGGCTCAGGTGAACTTTCCTGGTTGACAACACTTCACGTATCCTTGCTGGGAGATTTAAGTGCTTCCATGTGCAGCCACTGGGAGAGGACACCTGGAAGCTAGTGCCTGTCTCCTGGACTTCTCTCTGTGCACCTTTTCCCTTTGCTGACTTTAATCTGTATCCTTTTGCTAATAAACTGCAGCTCTTAGTCTAACAGCTTTTCTGAGTCCTGTGGATCCTTCTAGCAAATAATCAAGCCTAGGGGTGGTCTTGAGGACTCCCGACACAGAATGAGACTCACTTGACTCCACGAAGTCAGTAATGCCTCCTTATCACCTTTTAGGGCTGTGGACTTCCTCAATTAAGACTGTCCCTGATATCTACTTGTGTTATCATCTTGACTGAACCAATCCCACAACAGGGTGGGGAAGACTAGAGATGAGAATTCCTCCAGGAATAGAAACAGTGTTGTCCTTCTACTCAGGGAATTGCTGAATGCCTACTGAAATGTCTTCCGTAATTCATTCTAGGAAGAGCCAATGCTTATATACTAATGTCAGCACACACAGGTAATGAGGCTTGCTGGCTTTTCTTCAGATTAGCATTCAAACATGTCCCCAAATAATCTGACATTCCCATGTCACTGGCCCCTGGAGTAACAACAGAAGCCAAGCAGTCTGAGAAGGAGTAGGGTCAGATACAGATGATGAGGTCTGGGTGGGGAGAGACACTGGCTAGCTCTGCCTTCCATCTCACCCCCGCCCCCACCAAGCAGGGACCTAGCACTGTCTGTTGCTGAAGCACGCCCAACAGTGCTGTGGGCTGGCTCACCAAACAGGAACACTGAGAAACACTCCAAGTGGCCAGGGCAGCAACTCTCATAAAACCATTGGTGGGAAGGAAAGGCCATAAAGTGGGAGATAGTGTGAAGCTGACCGGAGACAGAAGGGAAGGCCATACTCAAGGAAGGAAGGAACAGAAGAGCGGCAAAGAGGACACACAGGTTGACGAAAGAGCAGTGTAGGGGATGGCGAAAGCGTCAAGAAGTGAGCACGAGGCAAGAGATATAAGGTACAAAAGAAAGTTGTCTAGGAGGTACTCTTCCTTGAATGCTTGTTCAGCAAATATTAAATGACCTCTGATCCCCAATATACAACCTTCCAGGGATAAACCACCTAAAAAATGGGATGAGATGCTGAAAGAAGCTCAAAAATGGACATGAAAACATTAAAATAGATACTGGGGAGTTGACTTGTCTGTGAATATAAATACAGCATTATAAATATTTAATATAAATACCAAAATGATCAAGTGCAAATGATATTAACCCTGCCATGTGTTGTCATACCAGCTCAGATACCTCAGCAGGTTCAAAGAAATTCAAATTGCTCTTAGTAATTAACATTTTTTTGCCTAAATACTGCAAGGATTGCTATAAAGTGGAAAGCAGAATCCGGCATTATTCTCCCAACTTTTCAGAGGCTCAGCAAGGTTAAATGACTGCCCCAGGTGATTCGGAGGCTGAACTAAGAAAAGGATCAGAATCTTTCTACCCTTATTCAGATATGCTATCAAGGAAATATCTGAAAATTAAAATCGCAAGACATTCAGAAATCCAGACTCTTAAACCATGGTGCCCACATAGTAGCAAGTGAACTCCCGTTGAAGTTGAGATTTTGCCTAGAAGCAGATCTGCAGGCTTCATGTACTCTTCTCTGTACCCCACCTAATGGAACAGAGAAGGCTCACAATAAATACGCTACGGATGTCTGCAGACACTCTGACCTCACTGGTTAAGACTTAGTACCTCAAATTCTTTTGATTGGGAATTCTGGAAACATTTTATTAAAAATAATTTAGTGCTTTATTTATCTATGTGGACCTTGACATGACCCAATGAAATGATTCAGCAGGCAATTATGAATAACTACTAACCTCTGTCTGATGTAAAATAAATGTGCAAAGGCAAACACCTGTTGCCAGCAAGTCAATTCAGACTCATAGCGACCCTATAGGACAGAGTAGACCGCCTCATAGGGTTTCCAAGTCTGCTTTACATAAGCAGACTGCCACATCTTTCTCCCATAGAGTGGCTGGTGGGCTCAAACTGCTGACATTTTGGTTAGCAGCCTAGTGCTTTAACCACTAGGAATTACCATTGCTTCCCAGTTGCCTGATTTCTAATTGTTCTTTGATCGTCTATATTCCTGAAAAATTTCTAGATCATTTTATATGTCCATGATCACCCCAAACCTGGACTCTGCACCTTATTAACACTATTTTTTGGCTTAGCTTACTCATTAGGTTGTATTTTGCTGGTGATATTTAGGTGTGGAGTTCTTTAAAGCGGAACTATTAAAAGCTGTATCTTCTTCAGGGTTCCAAGTGTTATTTATCACTTACACAAATGCAGGCCCTGTGAACAAAACCGTGGTAATCATCTGTTGCGGAGAAAAAACCTTGCCTGAGCCTTGGTAAGAACCATTGCCAAAATATCCAAATGCACTGATAGAAAAGTGTTAATACAAGTAGAGTTTATAACACAGGAAATCTGATCACAGCTTTAATTTCCAGCAGTAGGGAATTGGTTAAATAAATTACGGAAATTACTTAGAATATCATATAGTAATTTCAAATGATAATATACACCTATATTTATTGACATGATATGCTGAACAGAAAAACAATTCTACTGGACAAAATGTATAACCCATTGCTGTTGAGTCGATAGTGACCCTACAGGACATGGTAGAACTGCCCCATAGGGTTTCCAAGGAGTGGCTCGTGGATTCGAACTGCTGACCTTTTGGTTAGCAGCCGAGCTCTTAACCACTGTGCCACCAGAGCTCTGGACAAAATGTATAGTATACTGTATTTGTAATGATGTATATTTGTATATTTATATAGACAAAGACCAGGAGGATTCTCAGTAAAATAGTGGCTAGTATTGGAATAATAGTACAATTAGGTGTGGTCTTTAATTTTTTTTGTATTATTTTCTTGCTTTTCTAAAATGAACATGGATTACTTGTGTAAATACATATATTAATTGTGCATAAAACATATCTATAGAGAGACAGACACAAGCATGCACACACACAGAGAGAGATGAGGGAGTTGGGGAGGTAGGAGTCCAACTAATAGGAAACTAGAGCAGTAAAAAAACAATCACTGAGTATCTGCTATGGATGGGGCAGGCTCAGTGCTAGAAGCTTGGCGTTTGTTATGCGTTACATCCTCACAACAACCCTGTGAAGTAGGTATTAAACTGCTCCCATTTTACAGACATGGATACCTGGCACAGAGAGTTTAATAACCCACCTAAGGAGTGATAGCAAGTTGGTGTTAGAGGTAGGATTCAAACTAGCTTCACTTTTATGTTCCTTTTTCTGAACAAAAAAAATTTTTTTTGTGGGTAGTGTTGCTAGTTTTTGCAAAATTTCAGCTATGTAGGACATAGTAAGACCTGCTGTTTTATTGGGTACAACAAGTACCCAGCTCAACATCTGGTTGGCTGGCCAGGATCTTTTCATGGTAATTTTATAAAATATTCTTAGGCTGCTCTTCTACGTTCTGTGTTAATTCTTTTACCAAATCACAATGAGGTCCAATTCCTGGATGTTTAATCTCAGCTACATTATCATACATTTTGGCCTAATTTTATGACAGACAAAAGATTGGTCTGAATTACTGTTAAATTACATGGTTGACTCTTAATATGTCTTCTAACTCTCTTATCAGTTACATTTACTATACACTGGTTATTATATCTATTCGAGCCCTGGTGGCACAGTGGTTAAGAGTTTGGCTGATAACCAAAAGGTCTGCAGTTTGAATCCGCCAGCGGCTCCTTGGAAATCCTATGGGGCAGTTCTACTCTGTCCTATAGGGTCACTATGAGTCGGAATCGGCTCAATGGCAACGGGTTTGGTTTTTTTTAATGGGTAGTAGTACGCTTATCTCCTAAACATTCAATAAGGAGCAAGCAAAGGCATAAGCAGGCTTGTTTGCATGTCTGGGCCCTCATCTTTATAGCACCTGTATCTAGCACAGTGCCAGTCACATAGTAGGGTACTTCATAAACATTGAATAAATGATACTAGCATATGTCTACTCAGTCCTTACTCTATGTCAGGCAGTATCTTATATGCTCACATGCAATAGTTCATTTACTTGTAAGCAATCTTTGAAAGAGGTACCATTTTATAGATAGGGAAACTGAGGCACAG